ACACACACACACACACACACACACACACACACACACACACACACACAATCACCATCGCCAAAAAATGATGGAAATTAACAATCACCAGTCATTATTATTTATCAGTATCAATGGACTCAATTCAGCATTAAAAAAACAGAGACTAACAGAATGCATATAAAAACAGGATCCATCCTTCTGCCAAATACAAAAAACACCTCAACGTCAAAGACAAACATTACATCAGAGTAAAGAGCTGGGAAAAGATATTCCAATCAAATGGATCTAACAAGGAAGCTGGAATAGGTATCCTAAAATGCAACAGAATAGATTTCCATGCAAAATTAATCAAAAGTGATAAGAAAAACATTTCATACTCATTAAAGGAAAACTCCACTAGGATGAAATTTCAATTCTGAACATCTATGCCCCAAATGTACCCACACCTGTAAAAGAAACATTAATAAAGATTACCACACATTGAACCTCACACATTAATAGTGGTACACTTCAAAACCCACTCTCAGCAATGGCAAGTTGTCTGCTTAGTAAAGGAAATAATGGAACTAAGAAACATGACTTTGATGGGCATAATAGATTTCTATAGAACATTTCACCCAAACAAACAAACAAACAAAAGAATATACTTTCTTCTTGGGACCTCAAGGAACATCTCCAAAACTGACCATATACTTTGTTAGAAAGAAACTTTCAGCAGACACAAGAAAACTAAAACAACCTCTTGTGTCCTATCAGACCACCAGGGTTTAAAGTTGGATTTCAACAACAACAGAAACAACAAGAAGCTTACAACTCACAAAATGAACAACTCTCTACTGAATTTTCCTGAGTCAAGTAATAAAGAAAGAAATTAAAGACTTCCTAGAATTCAGTGAAAACAAATGTAGAACGTGCCCAAAGTTATGGGACACAATGAAAACAGTGACAATAAGAAAGGCCATAGCACTAGTATTTTCATGGAATATGAAGTGATCTCATACTAGCGATCTAACGGTACACGCGATAGCTGTAGAACAGAAGAGAAGGAAACACCCAAGAGGTGTAGGTGGCAGGAAATAATCAAACTCAGGCCTGAAATAAAAAAAAATAGAAAAAAACAATATAAAGAATCAATGAAATAAGAAGTTGGTTCTTTGAGAAAATCAACACGAGAGACAAACCTTTATCCAAACTAAAAGGCAAATAGGATATCCAAATTAACAAAATCAAAAACGACAACGAGGAACCTAACAACAGACATTGAGAAAATCTCATGAATCATTAGGCCATACTTCAAAAACCTGTACTCCACAAAATTGGAAATTTAAAAAAAATTCACAATTTCCTGGATAGACACCATGTACCAAAGTTAAATCAAGATCAAATAAATAATTTAAATAGGCCTATGAGCCCCAAGGAAGTACAAGCAGTCATTAAAAGTCTTCCAACCAAAAATAAATAAGCAAATAAATAAAGAAAAACAAAATAAAATAAAACAATCCTGGGCCAGATGGTTTTAGTGCAGAATTCTACCAGACTTTTAAAGAAGAGGTAATACAATGTTCCTCAAACGATTATACAAAAAAGAAACAGAAAGAACATTGCCAAATTTATTTTATGAGGACACAGTTAACCTAAACCACACAACAATGAAAGAGAATTACAGAATAATTTCCCTCATGAACATTGATGCAAAAAAATTCAATAAAAATACTAGCAAACCAAATGCAAGAAAACATCAAAAAGATCATCCACCATGAGCAAGTAGGAGTCATTCTAGAGATGTAGGAATTGTTCAACATATGAAAATTTGTTAATGTAATCCACCACATAAACAAACTGAAAGAAAACAACCACATGTTAATCTCATTTGATGTTGAAAAAACAAAAATTCTTTGATAAAACCCAGTACCCATTTGTGATTTTTACCACACAAAGGAGCTTATATTGGTGGAAGAAGTATGGTATAGTGAGATGAGAAAAGAGTGCCTTATCAAAGTCTGTCTTTTATAGAGAGGTTGAGACATGAGACCCTTTCGTAGAAAAGGGAACTGTATAAAAGCCTATCTTGCAGACATGAAAGAATTGTTTGGGTTTGAATATTGTTACCCCAAGATCATTTTATCCAAGTCTATTTAACTTTGTAACTACAAATAGCTGCAAGATGACATAAGATCTATCTACCCCATATTTTACATTGCATTTTCCATTGAATCATACTAGATAATTGATTCTATATGCTTTGTGTCCAGGGAACTTACTCTCAGCAGTTGGTACTATGTGTATCCTTGAGGCTTTCCCCTATTCTATTTATGTATGCCTTACTCTCCTTTCCAGAAAAGTGAGACATGGTCAATGTTCCAAATGTTATTTTCTCACATGTACCTATCTATACTGAGTTATAAAAGTTCCCAGGATTAGAAGTTGAAGTTAGAAATTCCATATAAGAGATGTAAGAAAGAAACCCTGACTGCTCTTAGGGATGGAGAGGGAGGAGGAGAGTGGGAGGGTGTTGGGAGGAGGGGCGGAAATGGAAACTTTTATAAATTAATAAACTTTTATAAATTAAAAAAACAACTTGCAAATAAGCAAAGATCAAGGAAAATAATTAAGTCAAAAAAACAAAACAACACACATGCATGCATGTACACACACACACACACACACACACAAAGAGATGTAAGAAATATTAGTCCCCTGTTGAATCTTAAGAGAAAAAAAAACCCGAGAAATAATAATTTTCAGGGAGAATTATAACTGTTGCATGTGTGAATGACAAAATAAAACTAAAAACTGCCCAAGAAATCACCAATATAATGAGAGAGAAAAGAGCCTGCAAGCTGCATGAATTTTGCAAATTCATACACAGTCCCACGGACTATTGATCCTTGCCAAGTGGGAGTCTGTTTTCACAGGTGTTTTGTCCTGAGGAAACCTGCTGAACAGGTAGTCAAATGCTGAGCCCAGACTAGGGGTTGCATGACTCCCAACAATATGGGAAAACATATGACCCAGGATAGGTAAAACAATCTTGTACAATAAAAGAACTTCTGGAGGTACCACTATCCCTGATTTAAGTTCTACTACAGAGCTATAGTGGTGAAAAATCTTAAGGTATAGGTACAAAAACAGACAGGTGGATCAACAGAATCAGATAGAAGACCTAGACGTAAGTCCACACACTTAGTGACACCTGATTTTTGACAAAGAAGCCAAAATTATTCATTGGAAAAAAGGGGAAAGCACCTTCAATAAATGGTGCTAGCTAACTGGATGGAGGTTGGTGTGTGGAAGAATGCAAAAAGGTCTATATCTGTTACTGTGTACAAAACTCAAGTCCAAATGGATCAAAGATCTCAACATAAAACAAGATAAACTAAATCTGACAGATGAGAAAGTGGAGAATAGCCTTGACTGCATTGGCACAGAAGGCAATTTCCTGAACAGAACATGAATTGCTAAGGCACCAAGATCAACAATTTATAAATGTGACCTCAAGAAACAAAAAAACTTCTGTAAGGAAAAGAACACCATCAAAAGGACAAAACAGAAGGCTACAGAACGGGAAAACATCTTCACCAACTCCAAATCTGACAGAGAGCTAATTCGTAAAATATATAAAGAACTCAAGAAACAGTACATCAATAAACCAGATAATCCAATTTTAAAAAATGGGGGTACAGATCTAAACAAAGAATTCTCAATAGAGGAATCTTAAATGGAAGAGAAACACTTAAAGAAATGTTTATATCCTTAACCATCAGGAAAATGCAAATCAAAATGACTCTGAGATTCCATCTTACATCTGTCAGAATGGATAAGATCAAAAACACAAGTGACAGCTCATACTGATGAGGATGTGGAGCAAGGGGAATATTCCTCCACTTCTGGTTGTTGTGGTTTGAAAGAAAATGGTCCCCAAAGGGCGTTACACTAATGGAAGGCAGCCTTGCTGGAGTAGGCGTGGTCTTGTTGGAGTAAGTGTGTCACTGAGGAGGCAGGCTTTGAGATCTCCTATATGTCCTGCCCAGTAAGACAGTTCACTTTGTGTTGCACTTAGATTAAGATATATCTAGCACCATGCCTGCCTGCATGGCACCATGTCCCACCATGATGATACAGGATTAAACCTATGAAAATGTAGGCTGCCCCAATAAATGTATTTTCTTTCCTTTTTCCAGAAAATTGGGAATCAAGCTAACTCAAGACCCAACTATGCCACTGCTGGGCATATACCCAAAGGGTGTTCCACCATACCATTAGGACACTTGCTCAACTATGTTCATAGAGATTTACGAGCAATAGCAAGAAAGTGGAACAACTTAGATGTCCATCAACAAAAGAATGGATAAATAAAATATGGTATGCCAGGCAGTGGTGGCGCATGCCTTTATTCCCGCACTCGGGAGGTAGACACAGGAAGATCTTTGTGAGTTCAAGGTCAACCAGGTCTACAAGAGGTAGTTCCAGGACAGGCTCCAAAGGTACAGAGAAACCCTGTCTCGAAAAAAAAAATGAAAGAAAAGAAAGAAAATATGGTATATGTATACAATAAAGTATAACTCAGCTGTTAAAAACAAGGATATTGGGCCTGCGGAGCTATGCTACCTGCGGCGGCTGGCCGCCTGTGTGGGTCGCGGCTTGGGCTGCGGGGAGCAGCGCTCCGCCTTGCCAGGCAACAGGTCCCCGGCGTCTGTGCAGCGCGACAGTTGAGGAGCAGCAGCCACCGAAGGAGTGAAGCCCTCGCGGGTGCCCCTCTGGATAATGCTCCCAAGGAATACCCTCCCAAGATCCAGCAACTGGTCCAAGACATCGCCAGCCTCACGCTCCTGGAGATCTCAGACCTCAATGAGCTCCTGAAGAAAACGTTGAAGATTCAGGATGTTGGCCTGATGCCAATGGGTGGCATGATGCCTGGTGCCGTCCCTGCTGCAGCAGCAGCCCCTGAGGTGGCTGAGGCAGAAGACATCCGCAAACAGAAAGAACGGACACACTTCACCGTCCCCCTGACAGAAGCAAAGCCCGTGGACAAAGTGAAACTCATCAAGGAGATCAAGAACTATGTCCAGGGCATAAACCTTGTGCAGGCCAAAGCCGAGGCCGAGAAGATCAAGGCAGCCTTGGAAGCAGTGGGTGGCACTGTGGTTCTGGAGTGACACCCCCGTTCCGAGGACTTTTGGACTATGTCCCTGGGACCTGGGCAAGGCCCGCTCACCCCTGCTTCACTCCCAGGTGGGGTGTTGGGAGCAACAGCTACTAACACTGGAGACCGAGTTCTGGGAGAGAGACAGGACGGACCTACTGTGATGGGGAGGCCCGCCACAGCTGTGCAGAGCTCTCCTGATTGCCTGGAGAACTTACAGAGTGAACACGCCCCTGTGGCTACTGAGAAAATACACTGTTGAGGATGGGAAAAAAAAAACAAGGATATTGAAGTAGGAGGCCGCTTGTTTGTTCCCAGATGCCCAGAATCGAAACAATCACTTTCGATTAATTAAATTAAATCACTGCTTGGCCAATTACTTAAGTGTATTGCTATCTAGCTCTTACATTCAGAATTAACCCATTTCCATTATTTTATATTTTACCATGAGGCTCGTGGCCTACTGGCAAGGTTCCAGCTGGCAGCTCGCATCTTTCCCCTCTGGCAGCTACATGGTGTCTCCCTGACTCCGCCTTCTTTCTCTCTCTATATTTCTTCCAGCCTGGCTATATTCTGTTAAGCCATTGGCAGAAAGTAGCGTCTTTATTCATTAACCAATAAAAACAACACATATTCAGAAGGACTTCCCACACCAGGACATCATGAAAATTTTTGGCTAATGGATGGAACTATAAAATATCATTCTGAGTTGAGGTAACCCAGACTTAGAAAGACAAACATAGCATGGACTCACTTATCAGTGGATATTAATGTTAAACTAAATGATAACCATGCAACTATCCACAGACTCAGAGAAGTAATGTAATAAGAGATAAAAATTAATAAAATTAGGGACAAAAATTGGTGATATCACAATAGACACCAAGAAAGTATAAAGAATAATGACATATTTAAAAAATCTGCACAACACTAAATTTAAGTAAGATAAGCAATACAAACAGATGTATAATTCATAGTGAAATAGATTCTTCCAACCAAGAAAAGCTCAGGGACAGGTACATATAGAACAGAATTCTACCAGAGTTTTAAAGAACAATTAACACAAACACTTCCCAAATTATTCTGCAAAGCAGAAAGTGAAGAAACATTGTATAATTCTTATAAGACCACAGTTACTCAAATACATAAACCATATAAAGATTCTACAAAAAAGAATTATAGACCAGCTTACATTACAAACATACATGCAAAATAATGCAACGCTTGCAAACCAAATACAAGAACACATTAAAAAGATCTTCATCCCAGAATGCAGCAATGATTCAACAAAAATAAACCAATAATTCTAATCTGCCATATAAACAGACAAAATGACAAAAACCACATGATCATCTCATTAGATTCAGAAAAAGTCTTTGACAAAAAAAATCCAACCAACCAACCAACCCAACACCCATTCAGAATAAAAATCCTTGCAAGACTAGGGATGTAAGAACAAAATGAGATCGTCTATTCTTTTTATACATATTCAATATATAGTACTTCGTCTTAGCTAGAGAAATAAGTCATCTGAAGGATATGAAGTGGGATATAAATAAGAAAGGAATAAGTCAAAGTATCTGAATACAAAATATCTAGAATAAACCTAACCATAAAAGTGAAGGACTTTGAAAATTAAAACTAAACCTCTGAAGAGAGAAAGACACTAGATAATGGAAAGACCTCTCTTGTTCATGAGCTGATAGAATACTGCGAAAATGACCATTTTACCAAAACTTTTCCATATTCAATGCAATCTTGATCAAAATTCCCATCTTCATTCTTTACAGAAATAGAAAACAAAAATTATCTGAAAATTCATATAGACATAGAAAAGACTCCACATAACTAAACAGCTTGGAACAAAAAGAACAATGTGGCTGTGAGATCTATTACAGAGCTAAAGTAATAAAAACAATATGGTATTGACATAAAACAAACATGTAGACTGTTTTAATTTAAAAAAATGACATGTGAAAGAAAGATGCCATGCGACAAAGCTCATATGGAAAGTTTTTTTTTTTAATTGGGGGAAGGGGAATACGGGAAAGGGGAAGGTGAGGGAGGAGACCAGCCTCTGGGAGTAGAAGTGGCAGAAGAGAGGAGAAGGGGAGAGAAGAGAAGAGAAGAGAAGAGAAGAGAAGAGAAGAGAAGAAACAAACATACAGAGAGAATGAAAGAGAAAGAGAAGAGAGGTGACCAAGGCCCATCCTTTATAAGGAAACATAAAAAGGGAAAGGGGAGAGGGAAAATCAGCTTCTGGGGACCAGAGAAGCAGAAGAGAAAAGAGGGAGGGAGGGAAGGAGTGAGAGAGAGAGAGAGAGAGAGAGAGAGAGAGAGAGGGAGAGGGAGAGGGAGAGGGAGAGGAAGAGGAAGAGGAAGAAGAAGAAGAAGAAGAAGAAGAAGAAGAAGAAGAAGAAGAAGAAGAAG